AAAATAATATGGAAGTAGACTAGGTGGCTATGGCATAACTGAGGAAAGGCGGATCATTGGATGAAGGCCCTGAGTTCTTGGGATGGGTACACAAAGGTTCTCTTTGCAGTTCATTCTATTTTTGTGTTTATTTCAAATTCTCCACATTTAAAAAAATGTGGGTCTGGGAACTCTTTGTACTTTTTGCTCATTTTTTTCTTTTTATGACCCTAAAACTGCTCTAAAAAAATAGTTTATTGGGACAAGCAGATGGTGTAGTGGTTATGTCACTGGACTCCCACATGGCTGACCATGGTTTGAGACCTAGACCTGGTGGCTTGAAACTCATGCTGGGCGCATGTGCGTGCATGCCTAAGATCCTGGGAGGAGAATGGAGAAGGAATTGCAGTATGGCTATCCCCCTGCGGGGTGATTTCTCACTTTCCCTCTCACTGTCTCTTTCTCCAGAGAGCACATGAGCCCTAAGGGAAAAACTTCTAAAAAAAATAAGTTTATTTAAAAAGTTGGGGGTGGTCAGTAGGTGGCATGGTGGTTAATTTGCTTAGATTCCTACATGGCCGACTATGGTTCAAGTCCCAGACCTGGCAGCTTGAAAATTATGCCAGGTGTGTGTGGGTACATGTCCAAAATCCTGAGAGAGGAGTGGAAGAGAAGGGATTACAGTGTGGCCATCCCCCCGGGAGATAATTTCTCCCTTTCCTTCTCTCTGGCAAGTACACACGCCCTATAGCAAAAACCTTTGAAAAAATGAAAAATAAATAAAACATTTCTTTATTGCTGCTCATAATTGATTTTTTTAAACTTTATTTATTTATTTTAATTTGACCAGAGAGGGACAGAGCAAGAGTGAGAGAGAGAGAGTGAGAAAGCAAGCCACCAGGTCTGGACTTGAACTGTGGTTGACCATGTGGGAGTCCATCGCCCTCAACCACCACGTCACCTGCCGGCTCCCATAATTGATTTTGATTTACAACAAAACCCTGTTTCTTTTTTTGATAACGTAGATGCTCTCTATGAAAATATTAAACATTGTTACACATTTTTTTAAAAAAGTTCCTCTGACCATACTATATTAAGAGAATAAATTGGGAACAAAGATTGAAGTGGGGTGACTAGGTAGTAGAGTAAGTTGAAAAAAGTAAACCAAAATATGTGAAGAGAATGTGACTTGCTTTCCATACGCTACTCTCTGAACGAGTACTTAAATGCCAAAAATAGCATGTGCTCGTGGTAAACAAATCAACAGCACATAAAGATGCAGGCTGAAGAGTCTTCACTGCAATGTCAGTCTCGTGCTCAAGAGGTTAATAGCTTCTTTCGAAATATCTGGGCATCTACAAATTAACATATTATTTCAGAAATCTCTAGACACATGTAAGCATTATCTTTCTTAATAAATTAAAAAATATATTTTCCATATCTATATCTTTAAAGAATTATTTATTTAATTTTATTTATTATTATTATTATTATTCTTTTTTTAAATTTGCTATAGGGCATGTGTGCTCATCAAAGAGACATAGAGAGAGGGAGGGAAAATGAGAAAGCAAGCCACCAGGTCTGGGACTTGAACCATGGTTGGCCATGTGGGAGTCTAGCATCCCAACCACTTAGCACCTGCTGGCTTCTCTCTCTCCTCTCTCTCTCTGTATATATGTATACACACACACACACACACACACACACACACACACACATTTATATTTTAAAGACAGGATCTCCCTGTTATGATACTGCTGTTTCAGCCTCCGAGCTGTAATCACAGACGTGGTCAGTGATCTTTTGTTTTTGTTTTTTAATTTGCCAGAGGGGGTATGTGCTCATCAGAGAGAGAGAGGGAGAGGAAGAAAGAACTCCCCATGGGGCATAGTTATGCTGCAATTTCCTCTCTTCCATTCTTCTCTCCTTCAGGATTTTGGGCACACATGCTCACACTTGGCATGTTTTTTCAAGCCGTGAGTCCAGGACTTGAATGGCATTGTCCGTCAGCTCTCTTATCTAGCAGGGCTGGGCTCTATCTGTACTTTAGATACTGTCTCATTATGTTGCCCAGGTCAGTCTTGAATTCAGATTTTACTGCTTCAAGCTGCTGAGTCACTGGAATTACATATAGATCTATTTCATTCTGTTTAAAAATGTCATAGCCACATTTTGTGACGAGTTGGAGATGGAGTGGTTGTGTGTGACTGCATTTCCTTCCTCCAGCCGCAGTCAACTTCTCTGCCTCGAACCCAGGAGCGAGATTCAGAATCGAATCTCTTTTCCCTTTCCTTTCTTGAAATACAGAGATTTGTATATAGAAAAATACATAAGTTAGTGAAACTTGGCCTGAGTGAGGTTGGTTCTTCTTTTTTTTTTTTTATCTTTAGCTACACTTTTTGGCTTTGTGAGGAACCTTACATCAATTGGAATGGCCAGCGATGTTACCGACAAGGCGGATCCTCGCTCCGTGAACTCCTGGGTATTCACTGGGAATCTCAACACTCTTGTGGTCAAGAAGTCTGATGTGGAAGCAATCTTCTCGAAGAATGGCAAAGCTGTGGGCTGCTCTGTTCATAAGGGCTTTGCCTTCATTCAGCATGTTAGTGAGGGGACTGCCCGGGCTGCTGTGGCAGGAGGGATGGCAGGGTGATTACCCGCCAGGTTTAGATGCTAATCTGGCTGCAGAGCCAAAAGTGAACTGAGAAAAAGCAGGTGTGAAACGATCTGCAGCGGAGATGTACGGCTCCTTTTTTGACTTGGACCATGATTTCTGCAGGATGATGATGACAGGATGTACAGTTCCCCAGCACGCGTTCCTTCCCACCTCCTATTGCTCGCACTCTAGTGCCCTCCAAATGCCAGCGTGTATCAGGAAACACTTCACCAAGGGGCAAAAGCTTCAATTCTAAGACTGGACAACGAGGATCGTCTTCCAAGTCTGGAAAGTTGAAAGGAGATGACCTCCAGGCCATTAAGAAGGAATTGACCAAGATTAAAAAAAAAAAAAGGGGATTCTCTTCTGCAAAACCTGGAAAAAATCGAAAAGGAACAGAGCAGACAACAGTAGAGGTGGAGAACGATAAGTCAGAAGAGGAGCAGAGCGGCAGCTCCTAGGAGAAAGATGAGACTCATGTGAAGATGGAGTCTGAGGGGGTGCAGGTGACTCTGCTGAGGAGGGGACCTACTGGATGATGATGAGAATGAAGATGGGGGGATGAGGGACCAGCAGTTAACGTAATGGCTATGTCACTGGACTCCCATGTAGTTGAACACAGTTCGCGTCCCGGACCCGGTGGCTTAAAACTCACGCTGGGTGCGTATGTGTGTGTGCCCAAGATCCCGAGAGGAGTACGGATGAGAAGGGATTGCAGTGTGGCCATCCCCCCTGGGGGGTGATTTCTCACTTTCTGTCTCTCTGTCTCTCTCTGTCTGGCGAGTGCACGCGCCCTATAGCAAAAACCTCTTCCCCCCCCCAAAATGAGATGGGGGATGACCAGCTGGAGTTGATCAAGGATGATGAAAAAGAGGCTGAGGAAGGAGAGGATGGGAGACAGCGCCAATGGCGAGGATGACTCTTAAGCACGTAGTGGGGTTTAGAACTCTTAGCCATTATTTCTTTACCTAGGCGCTTGTCTAGGATCACAATTTTCCCCAGATCCTCTCCCTAGTACCTTCAGCACACGCTCACTGTTCTCCCCATCTTTGTCCTTCCCCTGTCCATTAATTCATACTGCCCCGCGCCTGGGCCCATTTCACTTCTTCTGATGCTCCCAGTAGTTTTGTTAAGTCTTACCCTGCAATTTTGTTTTTAATTTTGATACCTCTTTATGACTTAACAATAAAAAGGATGGATGATTTTATGAGCTGTCTCCAAAATAATCCCTTGTTACTCAGGAAGCACAGTTCTTTTCATTCATGTACGAGCTCAGCAGCTGCTTCTCTAACTACAGGGCAGTATCATTTAGTTGAGAAGCACCTGAGAGCAGCTTTGAGTTAGAAGTGTGTGTTTTAGGCCCCACAGTAGAGTGCTGTGTGGGGCCATTCAACACAAATGTAACAGTGTATTTTTTGTGAATGGGGTTGGCATATCAGAAACATCCTTTAGAAAAATAGTGTAATAGTCTTAAGATTTGTTTACTGAAGTTGATACTGTGGATTATTTTTGTAAACAGCCTGATATTTGGGACCTTTTTTCCTCAAAATAAAGAAGTCCTTATTAAGCCAGGAAAAAGATGTTCATAGCCTTAGGCCTTATGATGCACCATCAGACATGTAATACATAACTCCCTTCAGTAGCTGTGTAGATTCCAGTTTGAAACATATTATATATATGTACCTGTCTATCTATCCATATGTGTAATTACCTGTATTACAACAATAAGTGATTGACATTTCTGTACAGTATCTTAGGGCTACTTGTGCACGATAACTTCAGGTTCAGTTCTAAAGCGGAAATGCTACCGCTAAGGATGTGCATTTTCACATTTCTTTTTTGCACTTTACATTTTGATAGGGGCCAATATCTTTAGAAATAGTTTCGCCTATCTATGCTTGCAGCAACACTGATACTTTCTTACACTCTGGTTAACGAGGAGTGTTATCACACTTTCTGCGTTTCCAATTCACACGTGGAAAATAGTATGGCATTACGATTTCAATGATCTTTCTTTTCCTTAGGAGTGGGATGAAGCTTCTTCATAGAGGCCCCGCACCTTCCAACCATCGCCTTTCTTCTCTGTGCTCGCTTAGATTTGACTTCGAATCTTCTATGTGGATTACTGGTTTCCCAGAGGCCCCACATTCAGGGTTCCGGAACAGGGTGGACAAGATGGAGAGCCCTCGGTTTGCAGGGACTGTGCGCTTTTCATTCAGTGCTCTGAGCACCAGACGGGATGGAAGGTGACAATCGGCGAGGAGGGGAGAAGGCACAGACGTGGGTGGAAAAGACAGCCGGCTGGGGAGATAACCAGGGCCTAGGAGAGACCTCCGAATTCCACTGAGCGCGGTACAGACGCAGAACCCGGAGGTCCCTGGAATCCCTGCCAGGAACCCTTCCAGCCCGCCGGTCTCCAGCAGGCTTTCCAAAGATGCAAAACAACCGATCACGAGGGCGTCTAGCCTGGCGCGCTCGGCAGACCCTCGAGGCCGGGCTCCCACCCAGAACACACAAGGCGCAGAGCAGACGGGCTGGGTGGAGGGGCCGCCCTTTTCTCCTCCAGTCACCAAGGCAGCGGGAACCAAAGAAACGAAACCAAAACCTGCCCGCTCCGCCCAGACCCCGCCGCGCTCGCCCCGCTAGATTGCAGACTTCCCGCTGGTCGCCCGGGCCGCGACTCTTTCCGCAATGGCAAGTTGTTTTTACTTTGGGTTTTGCATTGTAGGGTTGTGACCCTGCGGTCGCCGTGGTCCCCCAAAAGGGCTCGAACCGGCTGAACGGACCACGGTGCCGGGTGGGGCGGTTCGAGGCGGGGAGGGCTCTCGGGCTACCCACTCCCGTGGCGAGCAGACCCGGGTGGCTGTCTGCACCTGCGCCTGCAGCGACTGTGCGCTCTCCAGGAACTCCCATCCCGCCGCGTGGCACAGACTTGGAACCCGACGGGCGCGGGCCGCTGCCGCGCGCAGCCGCCGCCCAGGCGTGGGGACCGGGCGGTTTCCACGAGGAGTCGCTGCGCAGCCTGTGTGGGTTAGCTGTTGCCCTCTCTTTCGCTGACTCCAGGCCATCAAGTGGACAGATTACCCAAAGGGAGGGCCCAGCTTCTTTTCCCAAAGGGCTAGCGAGAACGATTGGAGCCAAGGGCCAGTTCGGAAGGAGTCCTGACGCCTTCTGTGCGCCTGCGTGGGAATCATCGCCTTTGTGTCTTCAGTTCGTTCTCCGAGACACAAAGGGCGCTGTGTTTTGCCATCTGTCCTGCTAGGAGGCACAGCTAGGAAATTCAATTTAGCCCTCCCCTCGTGTTTCATTCTTTCCCATCAAACACTTGAAAGCGGTGCCAGCTGTGCTTTCTTTTTATTATCGTTGTTAATTTTTAACGAATTAGAGAACTGTTTAGATACTTGAGAGGCCAGTGCGGGAGAAGAAAGAATCTAGTGTCTGGAGTGAGACGCGCAGGGTTTGCGATTGCAGTAGTCCGGCTTTCCTGCTGTGCGATTTCGTGCAAGTGGTTTAAATCCGTTTTCTTCATCCGTACACACTGGTGAACAACAGACTTAGGGTGAGAGGATTGAATGAGGTAATGAAAGCAAACTGCTTGGCACAGAGTGTTGTCGTTATTCAGGAAACAAAAACTATCAACTGAGACTGGCTTCAAGAAAGTGTGAACTTAAACAAGAAAAGTAAATATTTATTTACTACTTTCCATAAAAGCAGGACCCATCACACCACCTAACTTCTCAGTCCCATCACTGACTTTTCTATCACATTTCAAAAAGCACATGAAGACTGGGGGTGGTTAGAAACTCTCAAGTCCCTGCTGCTGCTGTCCGCCTAATACTGCCTCACATTCCCACTGCGTCTTCACCCGGCTCTCCGTCGATGGTAGAGTTCCGGAAGTGCAGGTTTTGTTCACCTGGTGGCATGGCAGCAAGGGTGTCCCGGCTGAAATAAGCAGCCGACCTTGAGAAACGCGTAGCCAAGTGCAGTGAACAAGTCTTCTAGTGGTCTCTTCCTATTGCCTGCTTTTTGGCTTTCGGATAGGATGGCTGAAAGTCTCTTCAGACAGCTTTGATGCAAGAAAAGTGCCTTTACCTGAATATCTCTGAACTAAAATTCTGCTCTGGGGTCACAATCATTGAAATGACTGTATTTCTCCAGGACATTTCTTTTCTTTCTTTTTTTTATTATTATTATTTTTTAGAGGTTTTGTGAGCGCACACACACTCACCAGAGAGACAGAGAGACAGAAAGCGAGAAATTACCCCCTGGGGGGATGGCCATGCTGCAGTCCCTTCTCCTCCATTCTCCTCTTGAGATCCTGGACACACGCACACACACTTCCAGCATGAGTTTAAGCCACCGGGTCTGGGACTTGAACCACAGTTGACTCTGTGGGAGTCCAGTGACATAGCCATTACGCTAACTGCTGGTCCCTTCATTTCCTTCTTAACCACGGATAGAAGAGATTCATAGCTTTCATTGTTCACAATTAAGATCTGTGAAATTACGTGTTAACCATAGGTCCTCAAACCTGGGAAAGAAGGTGGAAGAATGCTGACAGGTAATTGATACAATTCATCAAATGATTCAGAAAAAAATAGTTCTTATAAAATAAGGCCATTCAGGTTTTTCCCACCAAAAATGCTGGCTCAGAGAGAAGTTTCTCTGAAAATAAACATTTCTTTTGAAAATTAACTACATTTAGATATTTGAATAAAGAAATATTCAATTGTATTGATTAGGGCATAGTGGTAAGATTTTCTGATTTGAATGAATTGAGTATGATTCACTAGCCATTTACCCACTGAGGCTGGTGTGGGCTATTAGAACAGGACCTATCAAGACAAGTCTCCAGTAAGGGTCTCCGAATATCTGAAAAATCTCTTTGTCCAGCTTTTCCTCTTCTAGGGAGAACTGTCTTGGGAAAATTACATTGTTCTACTGGAAATAGGATGTAGGAACTCTTTGAAGTCTCATACATTTTTATTGTTTTTCACTAGACAATCTAGTTTGCAGATAATGCCAGGAAATTCTGTTTTCTTTCAGTAAAAGTGTCTTCCAGGGCCAGATGGCTGGTTAAGGCAGCTAGATCCCACATGGCTGATTATGTGGTTCAAGTCCTGGTGGTTTGGAAAACAGACTGAGCCTGTGTGTGTGTCCAAAATTCCAAGAGGAGAGTGGAGAAGGGATTGGAGCATGACCATGCGCCCTGGGGGGTACTTTCTCACTTTCTCTCTTTCTGGTGAGCACACATGAGCCCTATAGTAAAAATCAAACCAAAACAAAACAAAACAAATGAAAAACCCTACAAAAGAACCCCCAAGCCTTCTGTAACAAATAGCCAAGAGAGTATCATGGATTTTATTTTCAGGAAACAAACATTCCTTTAGTTTGTATTTGTCTCAACAGGGGCCATTTCCACCCCTCCTCTCTTCTTCACCCACACTGCTTTTTCTGGGGACTCTTTGTTTCCTTTATATCTTTGCCCCATTAATTCAATTTTTTTTTTCTAATCACAAAGGTTTATTTTGAACCAAATGGAACAAGAACTTAACCATCTCCTCAGAAGCAATATTTGGTCCTACTGCTTCCGTAGTGTCACCAGGAACCAAAACATATGCTGTGATCTATAGGCATATGAAGTGTTTTATTTAGAACATTTCTAAGGATTCTGCTTCAAAGGTTTTGCATGTACCACTGCACCATACATTAATGAAAGCAGTCTAGTCTTTCAAAGATCATGTGTCATCAAGGTCTGCAGAGTTTTCATTGTCATTTGCAACAAGGGCTTCTCTGTTCTCATAGGTCCAGAAGCCATTCAGATCAAGTAGAAGGGTGGTAACTGTGTCACCTTGATTACTATTGATTAAATCTTTTTTTTTTTTTTTTGCTATGCGTGCACTCGCCAGCCAGACAGAGAGAGACAGAGAGATAGAAAGCGAGAAATCACCCCCCCGGGGGGGAAGGCCACGCCGCAATCCCTTCTCCATTCTCCTCTCGGGATCTTGGGCACGCACGCACATGTGCCTGGCATGAGTTTAAGCCACTGGGTCCCGGACGCGAACCGCGGTCGACTACGTGGGAGTCCAGTGACATAGCCATTACGCTAACTGCTGGTCCCACTATTGATTAAATCTTGAATAGCGATTTTCAGAGGATCCTTTGGTTTTACCATGTCAAAGATTTCATCCTTGACATCTTGAAATGAAACAGGATCTTGTCCATGGATTTTCATTAGTTCCTGTATGGCTTAAAAGATAAAAATGGAGGCAGATATCCTTCAAACTCTTCTCTTTTATAAACTTTTATAAAAGAAATGACTGAAGAAACTGCTGTCACCCAGTTAGACCTAACGAAATAATGAAGGGAAAAGACATTCAAATATCCCTTGTTCTCAATATCAAGAAGTTTGAAAATATACTGTAGAGCTGCAGGTTCCTTTCTGTTTTCTAATGCAAGAACAAAGTCCAAGTAGGTCTTATAATCCATTTCTCCATCATAAGTGAGACACTCCTGGAAAACATGATCTAAGAAGACGTTTGTCATGGTTGCTGTTCCATAGCGGGAGAGTTCTTCTTTACTTAGCATGCCATTGTGATCTTCATCAAGATTCAAATACTGACCATAAACCCTTAGGGCAGAAGGAGCAGAAAACCAATTTGTTTCTTGACTTTCCTTGGATAGTTCCTCATCCCTTAGCTCCAATAAATCATCTAGGAAGCTGCATGCTAAAATATCTTGAATTTTTATCTTCCCTATTCTTAGGGGATCTAAAAAGAAGAAGAATTTCCTAACTGCTGTATAAACATAAAAGGAGTAAAAGGATTTTTCCAGCCCATCTAATTGTGGCAAGGTGGGGATAAGTTCCAGTATGTAGTTTTCTAAATCAGATTCCCTAAGGTACCCTTGCCCAGCGACATCATATAAACTGCGGCCTATTCTTGTTTGATGAAGCCAAACTTTTCTCATGACATAATTAAAGAACTGCATGATGGAAATTCTTCCATATGAATTTGTATGAAGGAGTTGAGCAAAGACCTTTGCTGTGAAAAACTGCTTGCACTTTGGTCCAGCTTTTTCACCAACTTTCAAAAAACTTTCATAATTGATCATTGCTTATTCTCCAATCATAGGTGGTGTTTGGTGTTTGTTCAGCACAAACCATAAATTCTGTAATTCTTCATTATCTAACAGTTCTCTGCTTTTTCTTTGTAGAAAGACAGCTCTGGATTCTTCTCTTAATTTCTGTAGCAAAACTTCATCTTTAGCTGGCAGCCTATAATAAAACCGGGAAATGGTCTTATAAAATTCATTTGTGTTTTTTCTACCTCCTTTCCATTCTGTGTAGTATTTGGTAAATAAATCCATTTCTTCATCTTTCAATTATTGTTCACTTTTTTTTTTTTTTCCCATTTGCATCTGTGTTGGTGTTGGGCATCGCTAACCACTGGCGGTGGTGGCGAAGAACTTCTTTCCAGTCCTTGGCCGCCTCTCCCTCCGGGGCAGCTCTTACATTTGCAGTTTACTAACCACTCCACCCCCTACCAGCTCCCCATTAATTCAAATTTGACCTTAGCCTTCAAGGCCTCTTTTTCAGGAAGCCTTTTTTGACTGCTTTAGCCAGAATTTGTCTTGCTTCTTAATCCTATATGACATTTATTGTATATTTTAGAATTTCATTGTGAATGGTCTTGTGTTTTTCTCAAAGTGTTGGGTATTGGCCTATTTCCTCTTGTAGAGAAATAGGTCTCTTTTGTGTGTATCAAACACTTTCGAAATGATTTATTTGTGTCTGACTCTCTCTGTTTCATAAGATAAAGGTCCCTCTCCCTCCTTTTAAAATTAATCCTAAAGCCCATCAGAGTTCCCACACTTATTGACCACTTAGTAAATTTTTTGTGGGGAAACTGACTTTCTTTCCTTTTTCTGTTTCTTTTTCTTTTCTTTTTTTTTTTGAGAGTGCGAATTTTACTGTAGGATGTGTGCACTCACCAGAGAGACAGAAAGTGAGAAATTACCCCATGGGGGGGATGGCCATGCCACAGTCACCTCTTCTCCATTCTCCTCTTGGGATTTTAGGCACGCATGCACATGCACCAGGAGTAAGGTTTAAGCAACTGGTCTGGGACTCAAACCAAGGTCAACTACATGGGAGTCCAGTGGTGTAACCATATTATGTAATCTGCTGGTCCTGGGGGAACTAAATTTCAGGGCAAAGAGTTTGTTTTATTTTTGGTGTGTATCATCCATGGTACTCAGCATACTTTCAAAGTAGAAAACCTATTAATACAGTATTTGCTAACTGATTAGCTAATGGACAATATACTATATATTCTAAGAAATTTAGTTGCAAATTGTGACTTTAAAAACACTATTGCACCATTTTTTTGCTACCTTATTTTATCAACTACCACTTGAAATACCAAAGTGATGCTAAGAGAGTGCATATATCAGGGTAGTCATTATTGAATTTATTTTATTATTCTTTTGTCCATGAGCAAAAGAGATAGGGAGAGAAAGAGGGAGACAGATGGATAGGGGCCTCCGACAGGGTCTTCATGCTGTGAACCACCCCCAGCCTCAGCCAGCCTGAATCATGGGCACAAGCATGCCTGGCGTGCTAGCAGAGATCTCTGGGCAAGAACCCACAACTGTCCCACATGGATCAGCTTCACAGAGCATTACACAGCTACTGGGCCCCATCCAGCCCCGTCACCGACTTGGTCATTTTTTGTTGAGTCTTACTATAATAAGTGAGGATTTCATTTAGGTAACCTCTGACTTCTTTTTTTCCCTTCAAGTTTAGAAGTTGTAATATTATTTTTTATTTTCTATGGGTGACTTTTTTTTCTTTTTATTCGCTATAGGATACTTGCAGGAGAAAGAGAGAGAGAGGAGAGAGAAAGTGAAAAGCACTCTCCAGGGGAATGGCCACTCCACAGTCCCCTCTCCTCTATTCTCCTCTCAGGACCTTTGAGAATGTATTCACATGCACCTGGCATATTTTTCAAGCCACAGGGTCTAGGACTGGAACTGCCCAGTCAGCCATGTGGAATTCAGCTGCCTTAACCAACACGCCTTCAATGGATGATTTTTGTTAACTTCCATAGTATTATACAATTCTGTGTAATGTAGCAGATTATTATTCTCTTCTTTCCTTTTTTTTTTTTTTTTTGGAGAGGTTTTTGCTATAGGGCGCATGTGCTCACCAGAAAGATAGAGACAGAGAGAGAAGGTGAGAAATCACCCCCAGGGAGGATGGCCATGCCGCAGTCTCTTCTCCTCCATTCTCCTCTTGGGATCTTGGACGCACACGCACATATGCCTGGCATGAGTTTAAGCCACTGTGTCTGGGACTTGCATTGCAGTCGACTCCATGGGAGTCCAGCAACATAGCCATTATGTCATCTGCTGTCCCATATTCTTTTTAAAAACTTCTGTTAGCTCTGCCTTTATTTTTACATTGGTGGGATTGGATGTTTCCATTGTGTTCTATAACCATATTTAAGTCTTTGATATTTTGAAGACTTAGCAGATTTAGTCTAAAAGTTAAAAACTAGTATTAGTGTTGACATTATTAAGGACTAATGTGCTGCGATTCCCTTTTCTCCTTTTGGCTCAACATCATGTGTATTTTTCCTTTCCATTTGCAGGAACATGTCCCCCGTAGCTGGGTCAGCCCAATGGATTTTCTTTTTCTTTTTTTTCTCTTTATTTGCATTCTCAGGTATTCCTTGAGGTTCTGACTCAGCTGCCTTCATCATGGTGTGTTCTGCGTGTGCTCAGTTTGCGTGCATCAGCATTGTGGGTAGAATGTGTGGGAGATGACTGGAGAAGCCGTTTTAGCAGCCGCCCTCCAGCAACCCTTTGTCTGTGGTTTCCTTTTCCCTTTCTGAGGTTCTGCTCTTCAGGCTCTCACCTTTCTACTGCAACCACCTTTTGCCCATTCCAGGTCAATTTGTCTTACTCTTCTGCATAATTCTGTGCATTTTCAGTCTTCCAGAAACTTGTTCAAGATCCCTATGCTGATTGCTCCTTTTAACTGTGTTTATTCTTTTATTTATTATATTTAAAAAATGATTTAATTTAGTTTTACTCATCATCATTATTATTAGTTTTAATTTGACCAGAGAGAGATGGGGGCAGGGGGAGGAGTGAGAAAGCAAGCCACCAGATCTGGGACTCAAACCATGGTCGACCATGTGGGAGTCCAGCACCTTAACCACCATGCCACCTGCTGGCCCCAATTTATTTTAAAAGTCTTTAATTTTAAGGGACTCTCAGAGAGGACAGGACATTGTGTCTGTGCTTAGACTGTCCTCTTGACCCGGGAGGTCAAAAGCAGTGAGCCTGTTCCGTGAAATCCTACTCTGGGTACTGAGTCTCCAGGACTGACAGCCCCAAACGCCTTTCTGTTTTGTTAACTATTACTTGGGCCAAGGCATCCTGTCTTCCCTGGGATAATTTAGAACAGATTGTGTCTGACCTCAGGTGTAATCAGGTTGGTCTAATGGTAAGGAGTGAAAGAAGCTTACAAACAATTTTTCTAATTGGGCTTGGGAATAAATTAAGGCATTTAAATAAATGTCCCTTAACTTAGTACAGTAAGACGTTCAAAGAATGGGAACCCAAGGAAGGATGCAGTAGCTTGAAAAACACACCACATACATGTGTATCTGTGCCCCAAACCTCGAAAGGAAAATGAGAGAGATGGGGGCAGGGGGAGGAGTGAGAAAGCAAGCCACCAGATCTGGGACTCAAACCATGGTCGACCATGTGGGAGTCCAGCACCTTAACCACCATGCCACCTGCTGGCCCCAATTTATTTTAAAAGTCTTTAATTTTAAGGGACTCTCAGAGAGGACAGGACATTGTGTCTGTGCTTAGACTGTCCTCTTGACCCGGGAGGTCAAAAGCAGTGAGCCTGTTCCGTGAAATCCTACTCTGGGTACTGAGTCTCCAGGACTGACAGCCCCAAACGCCTTTCTGTTTTGTTAACTATTACTTGGGCCAAGGCATCCTGTCTTCCCTGGGATAATTTAGAACAGATTGTGTCTGACCTCAGGTGTAATCAGGTTGGTCTAATGGTAAGGAGTGAAAGAAGCTTACAAACAATTTTTCTAATTGGGCTTGGGAATAAATTAAGGCATTTAAATAAATGTCCCTTAACTTAGTACAGTAAGACGTTCAAAGAATGGGAACCCAAGGAAGGATGCAGTAGCTTGAAAAACACACCACATACATGTGTATCTGTGCCCCAAACCTCGAAAGGAAAATGGAGGAAAAGGGATTGTGACATGGTCATCGCCCTTGGGGGGCTGATTTCTCACTTTTTCTTTCTCTTTTTCTCTTGTGAGCACACATGGTCTATGGCAAAAACTTAAACATATATAACTCTGTTGGGACCCTTTTTTTTTTGGAGAGGTTTTTGCTGTAGGGTACGTGCGCTCGCCAGACAGACAGAGAGACAGAGAGACAGAAAGCGAGAACTCACCCCCCAGGGGGGATGGCCACGCCACAGTCCTTCCCTTTGTTCTCCTCTCGGGATCTTGGGCACGCACGCACACGTGCCCAGCGTGAGTTTAAGCCACTGGGTCTGGAACTCGAACCGTGGCCAACTATGTCCAGCGACATAGCCATTACGCTAACTGCTGGTCCCTGTTGGGACCCTTTAGGGATTGCTAGCTCCCTCTCTGTCTCTCTCCCCTTCCCTCTTTCTCATGACGGGCTCATGGAAATGAGTACATAAATAAATAGATAAATATATAAATAAAATTTATTTTATATCTCTATCATCTATCTATAGCAACATATATATATATATATATGGAGAGAGAGATCATACACCAGCTCCGCGGCACAGTGTAATGCACTGCTCAAAAGAAGCTGATGCCACATGGTGACCACAGTTTGAATCCTAATCCCAGTCAGCCTGAAACACATGAGGCATGCACAGGTGTCTGAGATCTGACTTCTAGAGAACTGGAGGTAGGAGGTGCTGGTGTGATCAGATCCTGTAGAGGGTGCTTCTCTCTCTCCTTCTCTCTCTTGCTATCACATACACACACACCGTCCCCCGCCACACACACACATACTGGGTTGTTGGAAAAGAAATGACGCATTTTTGCATAGAAAAATGTGTCATGACTTTTATGACAACCCAATACTTTGATCTGCATGCACACACACACACGTACACACTATCATGAATAAAAGAAAATCAGAAATAAAAAAAATGTATATATTGCCATAGAGCATGTGTGGTCTCTGGAGAAAGAGAAAGACAGAGGGAAAGTGAGAAATCACTCTCTGGGGGAAATGGTCATGCCACAATCCCTTCTCCTCCATTCTCCTTTCGGGATTTTGGGAATACATGCATATGTGCCTGGAGTGTTTTTCAGGCTTCCAGGTCTGGGACTTGAACTGTGCAGTCAGACATGTGGGATCCAGTCCCCTAACTTTTATACTACTTGCTGGCCCCCAGAGTGCTATATTCTGAAAATGTGCCCTACTGTTTCTCTTACAGGCATCTATTTCGAAGGTCAAGGAATTCAAAGCTTCTGAAAGGACTGTTGTAGTTGCTGGCCTCCCAGTTGGCTGTTTTAGTGATCATTCATTGGCCACATTGGTGAAGAGTCACTTCCAAGATGTCAAGAATGAGGGTGGAGATGTTGAAGATGTGATATATCCAACAAAAACCAAGGGAGTTGCATATGTAATATTCAAAGAAAAGAAAGGTATTTCCAAATCAAATTTTTTTTTTTTTGGAGAGATTTTCACTGTAGGGCGCGTGCGCTCGCCAGACAGACAGAGAGAGACATAGAGACAGAAAGCGAGAAATCACCCCCCCCAGGGGGGATGGTCACGCCGCAATCCCTTCTCCTCCATTCTCCTCTCGGGATCTTGGGCACGCACGCACACGCGCCTGGCATGAGTTTTAAGCCACCGGGTCCGGGACACGAACCGCGGTCGACTACGTGGGAATCCAGCAACATAGCCATTACGCTAACTGCTGGTTCCCCCAAATCAAATTTTGTAATCTTAGAAAAACTCATCAATGAAATTAAAAATCACATTTGTTAAAGAGATTTGTGGGATTGGCAACATTTAAAGTACCTTTTCAAAATTATTTTACTTCAGAATATAAAAGTGGCACAGTATTGCATTAGCAATAATATCTGTGAAAATGGATCATGATAAAGTTACTAATGGAGACTTTTTTCTTATATTTGGAATCCACCTATATCTTGGCATAAAAGGGTACATTTTATTGCAGAAAACTTGTAAAATACAGAAAAGAAATAAAGACCTCTCCTCACTTAAATGATATATAATCTTATAGACAAGATAACTACTTTGGGAGTCTTAAAGTGGTTTCAGCAGTATAATTATACTCTGTTTCTCTTTGTTCAAACAGCAAGCAGATATTCTATTGTAGTATCTGCCTTATTACTGGTGAAGTTGAGTTGACAAATATGGCTTAGATTTGAGAGCAGATCCATTTTGTCCCCATACTATTTCTGATGTAGGTAAGAAGCTGGGTACTAGCAATCCCACTTCTGGCTATCTGCCCAAAGGACAGGAGAATGCTCAGTGGGAAAAGTGCTTGTACATCTGTGTTTTATTGTGGCATTATTCACGATTGCTATGACATAGAACCAACCCAGATGTCCACGAACAGATGTATGGATTGAAAAAGTGTGGCACATATACTCCACGGAATACTATTTAGCCATAAAAAACAAATCCTGGTATTTGACAGAAAGTGGACAGATTTGGAAGATTTATTGCTAAGTGAAGCAAGTCAGGCTATGGAAGAGAGACATTGTGTGTCTCCACTTAACATATACCGACTGTCCGCACTCTGTGGTAAAGACTGAAAAATTTGAGGACATAAAAGCATTGAAAATAGTTATGGACACTGGAAACAGTGTGGAAGGGTGGGAGAGGAGAAGAGTAAATTGGGGAGAAAAATAGAGAAGTAAGACATTTGTGGAACACAGAAATGGTCTATTACTTGATGATAATGTGTATAGTATTCTAAACTGAACTGGTCTCAGGTGTATTTCATGTTGAGTAAATTCTCTTTACAAGCTAAATGATGTATAGTCATTGAATGTATTAAAAAATAATAATAAAAAAAGTTGGGTCTGTAGAACACCCTTAGCCCTCAGACTCATGGAGTGGGCAGCCTTTACAGCTTAGTGGCTGGGAAAATAAACTACCACGCAAAGAAGAG